ACCTATAAACCTAATGAATTAGCGGGTTTCGGGGATACGAAACAACCCAAAATGATCAATAGCACATATTGAACAACCTTAGGACAAGCGAATAACAACGTTACTGACTTAAGATAAATGTCCTAAGAGTAATTGATGAATATATCTTACGGCTAATGGTGTTTAGGAGTCTCTGAGTTTGTAAAATATACGTCAGAAATGCGTACATATTTTCAATTATTCGTTTTGTGGTATAAAATGTGCGTCGGTGGCACAGTGGTAGAACGCTCACTAACGACGTATATGGTCTGGGATTCGTTCCCCGGCCTCGCTAAGACAGTAATAAGTCTGGTGTAGGGGGAAGGTTGGGCATGAAGCTAGTAACCCTATCCTGTAAAAATAAACACCAGTGCTACCGAAACTTCTGGCCTCTAGCTTGAAGCTCTATGTTCCACTGGGAACGTAAAGGAATAAAAAAGGAAAAATTTTATAAAATGAATTTTGAATAACACATTTAAGCGAACAATATTTTGGTTTCAATTAGGCCTCATCAGGCTTAACTCTAATATACATAAGTTTACAAATAAAAACTCAAGTATAAACCAGTCATGGTGTTTTGTCTATAGGATAATACGATGGTGAATATAAATTGTGCAATTTGTCATAATAGTAGTAACGATAATATTAATAGTGGTAGTAATAATAATAATAGTCTTATCAATAATAAGGATGAAAAAGTGAGGCAATCTGTGATAACACGAATAATGAAAAACAGCATGATTAAACAAACAAATGTTCAGGTAGAAGTAGTAGTCGATAAAAAACCTTTCAACGACCCCAACCAGTTTGCTTATAAACATAGTAGGAGTACGTTAGATGCCGCTGTCGTCCTCCACCATAGCATAGTCTCTAGTTTAGATAAAGGAGCTAAATACGTTCGCTGTGCCTTCCTTGATTACACATCTGCATTTGACTCTGTTCCCAGGTCTCTCTTGCTAAGTAAGCTTGCTGCAACACAGGCTGAAAGCTGGACAAATAAGTGGTTGCATTCCTATTTTTCTGAAAGGAAGCAGTACACCGTCTACAATGGAAAATCCTCCACTACCTCACTTACTTTAGCTGGTGTTCCTCAAGGTGCTGTTCTTTCTCCCTTTCTGTTCTCGTTTTTCTTACATGACTTGCCTCATTCTGATGTAGCCACTTTTGTTAAATATGCCGATGACCTCTCGGTTTCTATGCCTGTCAACTCTCAGTCAGATTGTTCCAAATTAAATAGCTTTCTGTCGGAAATTAGTCAGTGGTCCTCTTCAAACGGACTTAAGCTTAATCCGTCTAAATGTCAGGTAGTCAATTTCACTTTCAGACGTAAATGTGACCTACAGCAACTAGTTAGCTCACATGGCCCCACTCTCATTGACGGCACAGAGGTTGAAAATACATCTATGTCAAGTACCTTGGGCTGAGTTTTTCCACCGATCTTTCCTGGTCTTCCCACATCTTGCTAGTTACTAGAAAGATGTTTCGCTTAACGTTCTACATTAGGAAATTTAGGCAGTCTGGCATAAAGCAGTCTTTACTTTCTCAGTTTGTAAATTCTTGTATTCTACCCATCCTCCTTTACTGCTCCCCATTAGTCTTTCCTGGACTACTTAAGAAAGACTTTGCTTCGCTGAGAAGGGCACTAAAAGCTGTTAGTAGGGCAAGTGGGATATCGTTAAACCAACTGGTGAACACTATTGTAGATAGACATATTATGTCATGTAAGAAACTAGCGAATACAATATTGTCGGACCCCGAGCATCCTCTCTATACGCATCTATCTCCTTGCATTTCATCTGGAAGAACTAGAAGCAGCTATAGGAGGCTATATGCTAGGACTACCAAATACAAAAACTCCACAATACCATATCTGGCACAGCTGTTATGTGATGAGAAATCCGTTAGGTATGACACGATAAACTTACTGCAGCACTCTAACAAATAGACTCATTAGGTTTTGTTTTCCTTTCCTCGTTACTACTACACTGTTGTTCTCATCTACTACCACACATCAACTTTATATTTCAAATCCTGTGTTGCATTGTTTGAAATGAAATACTCTACACTGTTTTTTCTTAATTTTTAATTTTTATTTATTTTATTTATTTATAACTTATTTATTTTATTTTTATTTATTTATCTTTGATTTTTAAAAATCTTATATAATTTATGAGGTAATTAGATGCAATATACTGTAATGCACGCTGAAAATTCCATACCTGTACCACAAATACTGTTTGGAATAAAGCTGTTATTATTATTATTATAAAGGCTAGTAAAAACAAATGAACCGATTACGTAATGTTAGATTGTAAGGGAGGAAATGAAACACGTTTATAATGAATATACGATTAAGGGATGATAAGAAAGAGGTTGAAAATATAAACAAGGGATGGTGTAGAAGTCTTCAGTTGGTTATGTCTTATTAGGCCAAGGGAGGGATAATGGCTGTACAAACTTCTTTTGAATGCATAGTTTAGGTTTAATAGTTCGAATGCCTATCACTTGACTCAGCTGTGTGCAGTAGACGAATACGAAGTCTATTAGAAAGATTCGGTGGGATACGATGAATTACTTTGAAAGCTGTCGTTTTCTCCACACTACATGACCACTATGAATTAAATGTGACAAAATTGAGCTACGGATTGTTTTTGTCTGTCCTTTGCCAAACCACGATGGGATGTGTTCACTAACACGTTGGCTAAGCTGTCTACTAGTAGTGGGCCCAACATAACTGTAACCTCAGGTGCAGTTGAAATGACAAATACACATAGATGTGGGAAAACTATCAAGCTTATCCTTCGTTTGCGTCGCAATCATTCGTCGGCTAGAGAATGACAAACATAGGTGTGCTGCGTAAAATGTTCTACGTATACTCCTTGAAAGTCTTTGGAATAGAATCTCACTAGATAAGTCACCATTAAATTGTAACTTAATTAATAGAGGTTTTTTATGTGCAGTCAGAGTCTCAGATATTTTCTCTGATGGTTTCATATGTTTCCTTATGAAACTACTCGGATAGCCCATCTCCATCAAGGAATTGTGAATATATCCAAATTCCTTTTGTAAGAGGTCCTCCGTACACATCTTTCTTGTTATGCTCGTAAGACATTTAACAACATTCCTTTTATATCTAATGGGCACGTAAATGTGTGACACTTTATCAAAATAAATCCTATCCATTATGGAGTTATACTCTGCCACAGTGCCCAAGTTTTATACTAATATCAATTATCATAATACGTTATATTCTCCCGGAAACTAACACTTTCTTTCACGGATGAAATGTTTATCTTAAGTTTCTTACCAAAGTATAAAATGTCACACACACAGGGAATAGATTTTTCATCAAAAGGAAGGACTTATCTGACTGAAACATTAATATCATGAATGGTACAATTCATGTTTCGCTTTCAATGTTCATTGACTTATTCCTTCACGTTCCCAGTGGAACATAGGGCGCTTTCAAGCTAGAGGCTTGAAGTTTCTGTATCAGTGGTGTTTATTTTCACAGGATTGGGTCGCTAACCTCATGTCTAAAGCTTTTCTCATTACCAGCTTTATTTCTGACTTTCCGAGGTAAAGAAGTGCGTTGGCGACCGGGGATCGATCCTCGAACTATGTGCATAGTAGGCGATCGTCCTAACCGCTGTGCCACTGACGGACCAATGTTTGATATATACATATATATGTTTATATATATATTATTATTATTATTGTATCCTTTAGTTCCTAGAGGAACATAGGGCTTCAGCTGCGCACCTCCATTGACTTCGGTTTTCTGACAACTTTTTCACCCCGCTCCACGTCTGTCCACATGCTTTCATCTCCTCCTCGCATGACCTCCTCCAAGTCACCCTTGGACGACCAACTCGCCGCCTCCCTTTCGGGTTCCACTCTAGGGCTTGTCTAGTGATGTCACTTGATGGTTTCCTCAGCGTATGGCCAATCCATCTCCATTTCTTTCTGCCTATTTGTTTCACAATCGGTTCCTGATTGGTTCGCTCCCAGAGATCCCTGTTTCTGATCTTTTCTGGCCATCTGATCTTGAGTATTGAGCGGAGACAGTTGTTAATGAAGGTTTGGAGTTTGTTTGAGATGGTCTTTATGACGCGCTGGCCAAGTCTCTGATCCGTATAGTAGCACTGACTTCACATTGGAGTTGAAAATCCGGATCTTATTTTTGATGCTGAGTGCTGTTGACCTCCACACAGATTTGAGAGTAATGAAAGCTTGTCTTGCTTTTCCGATTCTGGCTTTGAAGCAACTTTTTGGGTTGCTCCCCTCAAAATCAGAAAATAACGGACAAACAATGAGAACAACATCAACAAAGGAAACAGTTCACAGAAAAAAAGGGCAAAAAGCGACGACAACTATACAATAAGACAACATGCAATATAGTTCAGTATAGTTAACTAAAATGATATCTTAACCATAAACTCACTGACTTGGAGCAACTTGAACATATAAATCCAACAATATATACAATTATAGATGTGTTTATGTTTAAAAATTCCACAAATCCAAACAGTGGGTTATGTGTATTATCTGTCAATAAGATTGTATTTTTTGGATTCAGTGTTCGAAAGGTTAGTAATTGTGATAATTTCCGCAAACTCTTTGCATAAAATTTTACAGTAATAAGAGATTTTATTAATGAGCAGAATGTAGCGTAATAGTATATATATATATATATACATATATATATATATATACCATGCACATGGTCCGGGGTTCGATGCCCGGCCACAGATGCACTCCTTTACCTTGCTAAACCACAAATAAGACTGGTAAAGAGGAAAGATTGGGTGGACATGAGGCTAGCTAGCAACCCTATCCTGTAAAATAAACACAACTGCTACAGAAACTTCAAGCCTGCAGCTTGAAGGTGCCCTGTGTTCCACTGGGAACGTGAAGGAAAGAAATGTATATATATACAAAATCAATTCAATATTCTTCTTTCTATGTTGTTTTTTTTTTAGAAATAGTTCTTCTCATCTGTGCTGTATTCAGTATGTTATGGATAAGTACAAGTTTTACACACTTTTATCCTGCGGAATATCAACAAAGTGAATTGAAATTTGAGCGTGGAATTGGACAAGTTCATGTTGCAGGTTTAATTCTCCTCTTCTTTACACATCTTATTCATATTACATTACGTTGTTTTTCAATTGCTCTATTCACTGGAAGATTTTATGCAATTATATTAGCTGTTTTAGGCGGACATTTTATTATCGTTTTAATATCAATTATTGTTGCGAGAGTATATACTGGTCGGTATGATTCTATTGAAAGAAGCGGGAGAGAAGTAAGTTCAGTTTGTGCATATCCTTCGATATTCTTCTTGAAATATATGTGATTAATTTTAAACTTTTACTTATACTACTTATAACAGCTGATATAAGTAGTACACAGCATGACGTCTCAAATTAATCTGTAAAATCAATTCAGAAGTAGCGGTGATAAGATGTTTGTGTAATACTGAACAGTGGCTGAACGGTCAATAAGCTAAGCTTGGGACCTGAAGGTTTGAGATTTGACCACCTCTGATTGGATCATTGTTATGTTGCTGCTGCTGAGTGGTTAATAGTAGTTTTCCCCGTCGCCAAATTGTTATGTACTCGTCGCCAAATTATTCCTATGTACTGGTCGAGAATTTAATAGTCCTGACGCGAGAAGGCGGAAGTCAGAAGACCACTAGGTTTTTGATGCTACTTCTATTTTCCAAACACAAGAAGAAGCAATAAGTGGTATCACACCAAAAGTAAGTAAGTAGTCACACAAATTGTGAGAGCGAAATATATATGACCATCCAGACAAGTGTGTGAACAAATCAATAGACAGTCTTAACATGAATGGCTAATTATAATGAAGTATCGATCCAAATATACATAGCAAAATATAGCAGATATGTCAACAACCACCATATATGGATATATGTCACCAAGCAACGGACTGTCAACAAACACTCATATTATATTATATATAATATAAGGGGAATATACATTGTTAAAGGAGACAGGTTCATCAAAGTGAAATGGTCACAGACTAAGCGAGCAAACAGAAAGAGAGATCACCATACACACATATATATATATATGTGGATACATATCAATCATATATGCGTAATGAGGATGATAAGTCCCAAGCAAGGCCAAAACAGTTATCCAGTACATTCTGGTTAGCGTCAGTGATTCACTGATAGAATCCTAGTCATCCATTTACATGCTCCGGAGTTCGACTGCCGACTGAGACACTCATAAATTTCGCTTAGTTGATGGTAAATCAGGTGAAGAAGGAAAGTTATGCATGTGGATAGCGTTACCGCCACAACATTGATATGCCGCTTATAATTAATAGAATTCAAACTTGATACATTATGGACACTGCAGGTGTGAGGAGAAATACTCACCACCGATGACATTGGCCAGTTCCAGTCGCGCTGTGTCGTGTGTTGGTAGAAATTGGAATTCATGAAGTGGCCTTTAGATCAAGTCCCTGTGGTTAAGAGGTCTGTCTACAAGCTTGCCTCCTAAGCGGAAGCTATTGAGTTCTGAGCCCGATGGTTGCGCACTGATTACAAATTCTAGACTAGGACTAAACGGCTCCTTGACAGTATTCCCTGGTTTTTCAATAATTCTCTAACCAATGTCAGTTCATAATGAAATCCTGTAACTTAAAGAAATTTCCTGCTATATATATATCGCTTCAATTTAGATATGATAGAGAAGATTTGTAGCTCAGGTAGATGATTTTGATGTGATTGTGTTCTCTGGGTTGGATAGTTAATTTGTGAAGCTTTCATCGCCCTACTTACTAGTTAACATCTTCCCTTGGCGCATGCTTCAATTTGAATTGAAGTGAGCTTTTAGATTTCTCCACGAGTTTATTAATCATCTCTCCTGGTGGGTGACCTTGGACGTGATTGGTTGTTTTTGTGTATTTTCACACCTTCTAGGCTACTTGTATTGGAACTGATTGTTTCTTTGACTTGAACTTTGACCCTTTGTGTGTGAAGTTTCTTTCTTATCGGTTGATAAAATTTGTTTATTTCTATGTATCTATTGATTGATGATTCACTGGAATACCAGACAGGCTTTTAAAAATTCTCTAGCATTCTTGTTGTTTCCTCTGTCTAATATTTGAACGTTTTCCCAGTCGAATTGATGTCCGTGGTTGTCTTTATGCAAGAGGGCAAGGACTCATTGCAGCACTACCACCTTAAGGAAAATTGAAGAAAGATATCTCATTGATGCCTTCCAAAAGAATAGATATCCACGGAATTTTATCAAAAGACATATACCTTCAAGCCAACCTATCAAACCAAAAGTTCCCAATGAAATCACAAAGAAAATCCCCCTACCATATATAAAGGACATGTCAGAAATTACCGCAAAACTCTTCAAACCTTTGCGAATTGACGTTATACACAAACCAATAAACTCGCTTCACTCAGTTCCATGTCACCTAAAAGACTCAACAACGAAAGAAGATAAAACCAATATCATCTACAAAATAAATTGTAACAACTTCGAGAAACACTACACTGACCAAAGTGGACGTCCCCTTCGTCTTCGTATCCACGAACATAAGCTAGCCGTCAAAAGACATAATATCTACTCCCTCATATCAAGTAACCTAGAAGGTGTGAAAATACACACAAAAACATCCAATCACGTCCAAGGTCACCTACTAGGAGAGATGATTAGTAAACTCGTGAAGAAATCTAAAAGCTCACTTCAATTTGAATTGAAGCATGCGCCAAGGGAAGATGTTGCCTAGTAAGTAGGATAATGAAAGCTTCGCAAATAAACCATCCAGACAACTCAGAGAACATCAAAATATTGCATCAAAATATTGCTTCAATTAATTTTCATGTATGTATATATCTAAATATTGTTTTGTTTTTTTTATTCTATTTTATTATTTTAGCAACGTGGTGATGTATGCGGAAATTTTCTATCTGATTTAATCCACTGTTATATTAGTTTATTTGAATTTATAAACGCTGAAGTTAAATATACACGAACACGGTATCTAATATACTACTTTTTATACTATTTAGAAAATTCAGTTATGATTGGTTTATGGTATGATTATTATGAATATCCTGAATCATGGTACTATCTTCCATGTTTACTGGTTGTTATCTTAGTCCAATTATTAGGATTTATACTACTACAAGTATATTTATATGTGTATTCAAAATCACGACGTAAAACAACACTGTGTGGTCTGTGTATGGCGCATAAAGATATTGATACTATTGAACATAATGATGGCGGGAAATTTAAAAATGAACAATTCTATAATGGTTTAACTAATTGGAATCAATCACAATCAATTCTAACGAATACAACGCATAGAACACTAGAAAAACAACGATCAGGAAGTATTTTAAACTATTATCCATCTATGAATAGTCTTAGTTATGCAACAACAAGAACACTGCCTAAACGTGCTTATAATAATAATAGTGGTACATGTGATCCAGTATTTGGTGAACAAATATCTCAGTCAGCTGCACCGCTTAAATCTAAGGTGGCAAAGGGGAATAAAAGATATAAAACGGATTTACAAAAATCGATTGAACATGAAAAACAGGCTCAACAATATCTTCAGCAGCAACAGCAACAACAGCGGAATAGACCTCCATCTGAAATGTCCCAATCGCAGTATTATTATTCTAAACCCCCGCCAACATCGACAACAACAGCAGGGGGAGAGATGAAAAGACGACGTTACCTATCAGAATCTCGTCAAGAAACTCAATCAAATGGTCAAACACGTTCACGTCAAAGACCAGTCTCTTATAATACACGACCACCATCATCGAATCTTAGTCATACAACAGAGCATAGTAAAAGAATATCTCGGACAAATAGTTATTTATTACAAGAGAATTCATCGAAACCTTCAAATAATGACCAATACTCCTTCTCACAACAACCACAGACAGTGTTGACAAAACAGAATCCAATCAAGTTGGAGAAAGGTGTTTATAGGCCGAAAAGTAATCATCACTCTGTGAGTAATATAACACAAAACCGTATGAAAACAAAGACGACATCTAGAGAATAGAAACATGACTGTGTGTGACTGACTATGTAGGTATGTATGTATTTGGAGAGTAACGCTCATTTACTAGTAACACCACCTGTTTTATAAGATTTTGTTATTGTTATTATTATTATTGTTACCGTTCTGAATGACTTACTGCATAACACATATGATCTCACTCTCTCTCTCTCTATTTCTCTCTTACTAAGATTAGTCTTCCAGATCACAATTAAGCCAGACTCAAATTTGTCAAGCAAACAGACAAACTCACGCACACACAAACAGACACATGCCAAAATATTTTTCTATACTTTTTTCAATCCACGCTCACCCCCCCCCCTTGTTTTTAATATTAATCGAAACTTTTGATTTTTGAGTGATTTTGCACGTAGAATGAAACACCTAAAGAGAAAATTATACATATATATATACTTATTGCATAGTTTATTTCCCTAATATTCTATTATACTACTTATTAATAATGATTACTATGATGATTATTTAGTAAAATAAATTGTATATATATTATGAATAATTTTCGTATGATGATGATTACGTTTATTATTGTTCCCTGGGGTTCCGCGAGTAGGACAGAAAGCTTCACATTTAGCGCATCTCCAACATTTTTTCTCCACGATTGATTGCCCGTTAGCTTTTAAGTCTTCTTGCTTCATACATGATATCCCCCGTTTCACTCTCTCACTAATGTCCAACTCGTTGTTCCACAGTTGGATATCAGTCGAGCGATGACCTGGTGCATGATGTCATCATTCAGAAGTATTTCCTGCTTGTGTTTGATTCATCTGCATTTTGAGGACATATTGCTTGGAGTGCAGCTATGCCTGACTTCCACAGTATTTAAATTCCAAGGGAAAATATACAAACAAACTGAGGGGTAGTTCCCATGGAATCACCAATATCCCGGTTGTAGCAGATATATTCATGGATAGGTGGGAAAGCATAGCGACTGAAATGTTCACCCCCACCTCGCGTAGAAGTATGGTTGAGGTATGTAGATGACACATTCACTGTACTTAGAACACAGGATATTGATAGATTTTTCGAATACCTCAACTTAAAGGTAGAGGCAATACAATTCACTTATGAATTGGAAAGTCAGGAACTGGGGAGCTTCCAATGTTAGATTGCTACGTTAAAAGGAAAGAAGATGGGAAGTTAAACACATCAGTGTGTTTATAGGAAACCCACCTGCACATTCAAACAGACATTTACACCTCCAATCATTCCATCATATGTCAGTAAAAATAGGATTGGTGAAATGTTTAAGTGACAGAGCACAAAAACTAAGTAGTGCCAAGGAAAATCTAAGACAAGAATTGATACACATAAAAGAAGCCTTGAAACTTAATAATAACCCCGATAAATTAGTCAGGAAATATGTGAGGAAATGTAAAAATAAAATAAATAATGATAATCGCTATAGTGATAATAATAATAATGACAACAATAATGCTGACGATAATTATAATAATAATATTAATAACAATATTAATGACGACACCAACAATAAGGAATCTAAATCATCAGTAGTAATACCATACAAGGAAGGAACCTCGGAAGCCTTACGCAGAATTCTTATTAATGCTGGCAGGAATAAAAGTGGCTGGTATTCAAACCCTCCACAAACTCAATTAGAAACAAGCTTTCTCGGTTAAAGGATCAATCCTGTGGAAACTTTATAACAAAACAATTTAGTTTATCTAATACCCTGCCTCCAATGATTGTCAGGTCAAATACATCGGCCAAGTTAGTAGAACAGGGGCAGTCAGTCAGACTAGCCGAGCATAAAAATCTAGCAGAAAAATCTAGATTAAAATTGGGAATTAGAATGCCATAATAAACAGGGGGATGGATAAAACAAACAAAGTAGCATTATAAAAACTAAGAAGACTGACATTGTGCAATTAGGGGTTAGAAATGTAGAAATAACAAAATAGACAGGATGTTTGGATAAAAACTAATGTGATGAATAATTGTTTATGCAATCAGGGATTAAATATGTAGAAATAGTAAAATGACAAAATAAACACTAAGTTCGGGTATGGAAATATGGTAGTGTAAACAGGGATTAAGAAAAACTTAAAATAACATGAATAAACAGGAAGTTTAGATAAGAAAGGAGATGGGATGGTGATTACTAAAAATTACCTGTTTATGATGGCCATGGCAAGGACAGGGGTTGGACGTATTTCTTTTGGATACAAAGCGTGGGTTTGAGCTTTTGTATAGCTAGCGCCTCAGCTATGCCCAGATGTCTTGATTTTACTCCCTTTGATAGGTTTGATCGAATCTTGTAAATGATTTTGAACACTATCCAACCTGGCTAGTGAAAGGAGAACGAAAACGGGTAAATAGTTCGGTGACAGAACATCTGGTGAATTCAGGACATTCAGCGCCACTCGAAAAATCCTTCAAAATTATTTACAAGATTCGATCAAACCTATCAAAGGGAGTAAAATCAAGACATCTGGGCATAGCCGAGGCGCTAGCTATACAAAAGCTCAAACCAACGCTTTGTATACAAAAATCTAGATTAGTTGACCCGAATAAGATAAGAATTCTGAGAACAGTTCAGCTGTAACCCTCAGCACATCCAATTACACACAACCATACAACAATACGACGGAATGGGATAGGATGACAGTTTTAAAATCTAATGTCACAGGATGAATGGTGAAAAGAGATTGATAACGGAAGATTTGATTATCGAATCAACTGCAAATACATGTAACAGGAATGGTCCAACACCTGTCCATTCGGATATCTGGAAAAGTCTACTACCCCTACGACGACAAATAGGAGAGAACAAAGAAGACTACAAAACTCAAGTTTCGAAGTCGTATAATTATAATTGATGATATGATTCTGAACAGCAATAGATTGTGTTCGAAACGTCATCCAGTAAATAATATTGTTTCACTTTCTGTGTGATATATCTAATAAACAAACTAATATGGAAAGGACCCAATACTCGGCAATGATTGTGAAGTCAAATGCACAAATCAGAGTAGTCGGTCAGAGGTCATTTACATTAGCGAAGCTCAAAGACCTAGAAAAATCCACACTCCTTTTGACCCTAACAAAATAGGAAATCTAGAAAAGTGTTCAGCTACAGCACTACACGCGATTACACACAACCATACAATAGGATGAGATGGGATAAGATGACAGTTTCAAAAGCCAACAAAGCAAGGTGATTCCTGAAGCCATATTTCACAAATTAACTGAGCATTTGTGAGATAGAAATGATTGTTTCAACACCTGTCCACACCGGAATATCTAGATAATTCGACTACACCTACGATAAATGAGAAGAAAGAAATAGAGAACAAGTTTCGAAGTTGTGTAATTACAATTGGTGATATGATTATGACCAACAACAATAAACTGTCTAGAAAACCAACAGATTATTAAGCGAATTTCTTCACTTTAATTAGTTTCTTATCATCGGCTGGCTCTACACTAATATACAGTCGCTTTTTACATCAAAATGTTTTACCAATCAAGTGGTTATTTGAATAAAGCAAGAACAATGTAACAACAGAAGACAAGGGCTAAGCAACAGATCGTTTTATTATGAAAATCAACACGTATTTATACATATTTCACATACATTATTATAGCTTATGCAAGTAGACAAGCGCAGTCATCTGATTGGTTGTTTATCAGAAGTTAGGCAGACAAACGCAGGCTTCTGATTGGTTGTTTCGGGATTCCTCGACAAATAGAGTTGTCTATCTGCGAATCATATTTTGCCACGTTAACTTTGCTGTGATTGGTTGTTGAATCAGCCTTGCTCATATTTTCTCACGGCCTGCTCTCACCACAACAACAGTGATGGTTTGTGCAGAATAAGAAGATGATAGCGTCATTGCTGATTTCGTTGGCTTCTCATCAACTCAACTGCTTACAGGCTAAAAAGAAATTATGAGGTTTATGTACAGAAAAGTTTTAACATTATTATTATTATAGGGCTTTATCCACACATCTCCATGGCTTTCGGTTCTCTGCTAAAGTTTTCACCTGGCTCCAAGTCTGCCGACAGGTTTTCATATCCTCTTCACATGACCTCCTCCTCCAAGTCACCCTTGCACTGACGACCAACTCGCCGCTTCCCTTTCTGTCGGGTTCCACTCGAGCGATGGCTTGTCTAGGGATGACACTTGACGGTTTCCTCAGAGTATGGCCAATCCATCTCCATTTCCTCTTGCTCATTTGTTGCACAATCAGTTCCTGCTGGGTTGGTTCGCTCATTGCCAGAGATCCCTGCCGGCGATCTTTTCTGACCGGCCATCTGATCTTGAGTAGTAGTAAGAGAAGACAGATGTTGAAGTAGGTCTGTAGTTTGTTTGAGATGCTCTTTATGACGCGCTGGCCAAGTCTCTGATCCGTATAGTAGCACTGACTGACTTCACGTTGGAGTTGCAAATCCAGATCTTATTTTTCATGCTGAGTGGGGCTGTTGACCTCCACACAGACTTGAGAGTAATGAAAACTTGTCTTGCTTTCGCGATCCTTGCTGCTTTGATATCCTAATCAGTTGAAACGATGCTTCCCAGGTCGGTAGGTAAAGGAGGTTGCTTCTTTCAGATTTCTCCTATTTACGCTGGCTGACTGTTGTCTGTTGGTGTTGCTGTTGGCCAAGAATCTTCATCACCTCTGTTTTCTCTATGTTCACCTGAAGTTCTTGCTATCTTTGATGCTTTTTCTGCCAACTTGTTGCTTTTTTCTCCATGATGTCAGTTGACAGAATGTTCCACAATTAGTGAACAGTGCTCAGAAAATTGCGATTATATAGTTTTCACACAGGCAGTTCAAGTTTAAACAAAATAATAAATGTATGCATACAATGGTGAAGGAATTACGTAATAAAGACGAGAGATGAGTAAGATGCTGAGTGACTGATAAATTAGGTGACAATGTACTGAGTTCAACTCAAATCATAGAAACAAGAGACAAGCAAAATTATGGACTATAAAAAAGGGCGTGAGAGGTTAAAGACAAAGGTTACGTAGTCAGATGAGATAATAGAGATATCCAGTTACCAGGGCAAGGAAAGACTAATAACTGCTTCTTCTTTCTGAACACATAAATCTGGTATGGTTCAATCGTTTGACAGAAATAGATTCTATGGAGGATTTAATTATGAGCTGACATCAGTTAGAGAACCACTGGAAGGCCTGGAAGTACTAGACAGCTGTTTCGTCCTAGTCTGGGACTCCTCAGCAGTACGCACCCACCGGGGCTCGAACCCAGGACCTTCTGGTTACAAGGCTAGCGAGCCCGCAGACCATTGAGCCACTGGGACCCAGTCTAATGGTTCTTGAATTCTAACTTCTGCCAATTCACGACATGGCGCGACCACTTCGCAATGTCTTCTTCGATGAGTTACTGCCTCATCTTCGACCTGCTGATGCTCACTA